GTGACTTCTATTCGTCATCATTTGCCTTTACTTCTTCCTGCTTTGCAAATGTTAGCTGATTATGATTTCAACTTGCCTTTTGATTGGTGTTCATATATATATTTTTAATTCTAGAATGCCTTCCATAAGTTTCAAGTAATTCTTTTGCATTCTGTTTTGAAAAGGGGTAATATTTTTTAAAATTTCCTGAATTTCTTCATGTTTTTAATTCTAAATAATAAATAATTCAGGAATCTCTCTCCTCCGAATCATCTATTTACACTCAAGTATGCTCATGTTTCTTCTGTCTTAAAATCCTCTGCTCCTCCCTACAAGCTATGATCCTTTCTCTCTTGTTCTCACGGTGGCCATACAGCTGAAAGAAGCTTCCTGCCTTTACTTTCTGTGGCTTACTGCTATTTATTCTTTATTCCACTGAAATAGATTCCAGCTCCACCTTTCACCCAAACGACTATTTTTGACAGTAGTGGCTTTATTGTTAATGAATCCCGTGGAATTAGGACTTGCTGCTTTGACAGAATGTAAATACAACACTGACTTTCTGTGGCTTTTGTAATGTGATATATTCTTATCCTTCTCAGTTTCTTGCCACAGCTTTTCAATATACTCTGTGAAGATTCACTACTTATGTTTGTATCTAAGACAAGCTTCTCCAACCCACGGGCCGGGTGCGGCCCAGCAGGGCTTTGAATGTGGCCCATACACAAATTTGTAAACTTTCTTAAAACATCTAGATTTTTTTTTGTTTACTTTTTTTGAGCTCACCAGGTATCATTAGTGTTTTTTATGTGTGGCCCAAGACAGTTCTTCCAGTGTGGCCCAGTGAAGCCAAAAGATTGGACACCCCTGATCTAAGCGTTTTTTTAGTTTTAGTTACTTACAGTTAGGACCCTTGATTCATTTTGATCTATTTTGTGTGTATAACATGAAGTATTTGGATCTCCCCCTTTATTTTTTTTTTTTTCATTTTTTTATATTTATATGGCTTTCTAATTACTGCAGCACCAGCTGTAGAAGACACTACTTAAAAAGCAATTGACTGTAACTTGTATCTGAGCTCTCACTTCTATTTCATTGATCTTTATGTCTCTTTTATGCCATTACCACACTGTCTTGATTACTATAACTTTGCAGTAAGTTTTGAAACGGGGACATGCCATCCCACCAACTTTCTTGTTTTTAAAGATTGTTTTGGCTGTTCTGGGTTCCACTGAATTTCCATATGAATATTAAGATCAACTTGTCCATTTCTGCAAATAAGCCAGCTGGTATTTTAGTTGAGATTTAATTCAATCTGTAGATCAGTTTGCAAAGTATTATCATTTTAACAATATTAAGACCTCCTGTCCATGAACATTGGATATTTTTTCATTTTATTTAGATTAAAAGAAACCATGAATGTTTTGTAGTTTTTAGTATACAACTTTTGCTTTATTTTGTGATCTTATTCCTAAGTATGTTATACTTGATGCTGAGGTAAGTGGAATTGTTTTTTAAATTTCATTTTTGAGTTGTTCACTGCTGGTGTAAATAAACAAAACTGAGTTTTGTATATTAATGTTGTGTCCTAAAACCTTGCTAAACTCCTATTAGTTTTATTAATTTTTTTGTCGATTACTTAGGATTTTCTATACACGGGTTTGTACCACCTGTGTACAGAGATTGTTTTAGTTCTTCCTTTCCTGTGTAGATACTGTTTATTCCTTTTTGTTACATAATTGTCCTGGCTAGAACCTCAAGTACAATGTTGAGTAGAAGTGGTAATAGCAGACATCTTTGTCTTGTCTTAGGATAATGCATTCAGTCTTTCATTGTTAAATATGTTGTTAGCTGTGGATTTTCCTAGTTGATGAGTGTTTTTATCCTCAAGGAGTGTTGGATTCTTCCATCAAATGTGTTTCTCTCTGTTGAAGTTACCATGTAGTTTTTGTCCTTTATTTTATTATATTATTACATTAATTTATGTTTGGATGTTAAACCAACCTTATAATCCTGGAATAAATTCACCCTGGTTCTTGTGTATTAATTATGCTGCTGCATTTGGTTTCTTAATGTTTATTTGACAGCTTTAACATCTATCTGTATGCTTAATATAAGCATATTTGTGTATAGTTTCCTTATCTTGTGCTTTCTATATCTGGTTTTCCTATCAGGACAATACTGGCCTCATAGAATGTGTAAGGTAGTGATCCTTCCTATTAAATTTTTGAAGAGTTTGTGAAGGATTAGCATTAATTCTTTAATTAAATGTTTATTAAAATTCACTATTGAATTTTGGGCTTTTCTTTGAAGGCAAATTTTTGAGTATTGATTTTTACATTTTTCTTATTAAAGAAAAAACTTTTTCTACACACAGCACTTCTGATAGCAGATGTTCCCCTGCCCCAAATACTGGCCAGTTCTTTGACTCTCCAGACACCAAATCAGTGTTCTAAGGTGACTTACAGTTCTGACACTGTCTGGAGATAGCATCTGACCTCACAAGTTTAAGATCAGACTGCTACGCTTTAGGTGCCAGTTTTAAGTCCCAGACCTCCCTCACTTCTGACCAACTTGACTACAAATTGAGAATACAGAACCCTCTCCTCAGATCCTGTGATTTGCCATAACAACTTACGTAATTCAGAGTGACAACCTGTTTACTATTACTGGTCACTGTAATGTAAGAGATACTATAAAGACGAGTAGCCAGTTGAAGAGGTACATAGGGCAAGGTCTGAGCACAGGAGCTTCTGTCCCTGTACAGTTGGGGATGTACCACCCACCCTCAGGGCAGACAGGTAGTTAATAAACCCAGAACCTCTTCAAATCCCATCATTCAAAGTTTATATGGAGGATTCATTATATAAGTATGACTAATTAAGTCTTTGGCCATTGGTGACTGAGTCAGACTCCATCCCCTCTTCCCTTCCCAGAGGTATAAGGGTTATAAGGAGTTAGAGCTTGAAACTTCAACCCTCTAATTCTGCCTTAGTCTTTTTGGGAAATAACTCCTATCCTCCAGGAGTTACCTCATTAGCATACTCAGGTATGGTTGAAAGGGGCTTATTATGAGTAACAAAAGATGTTCCTCTCACCTCTATTACTAAATTCTAAGGGGTTCAGGTGCTCCCTGTAAGAAACTTGCGGCAGAGAACAAATAGATCTTTCTTATTATTTCATACCTGTTATTTTCTCTTCATATTTCTGTTTCTTCTTGAGTCAGTTTTGGTAGTTTTTTTCCTTGTTCATCCATGTTGTCTACGTTACCAAATAATTTGGCATACGGTTGTTTGTAGAATTCCCTGATGATCTTTTATTTCTTTAAAGTCCAAGTGATGCCCCATTTTCATTTGTAATTTTAACAGTCTCTTTTATTCTTGGTGAGTTTAGCTAAAGGTTTATTAATTTTATTAGGCTTTTAAACAAACAACTTTTGATTTTGTTGATTTTTCTCTATTTTCTGCTCTTTTTCATTTGTTTCTGCTCTATTTTTTGTTATTTTTTTCCTCTTACTTTGGGTTTGATTTGTTTATCTGTTACACTTGTAAAGGTAAAAGGTTAGATTATTGGTTTGAAATCTTTTATTTAAAAAAAGTAGATATTTAAGAATTGAGCCTAGGAATTCAGGCCTGGAGTGAGCCATGATCGCACCACTGCACTCCAGGCTGGGAACACAGTGAGACTCTGTCACCAAAAAAAAAAAGCAAGAGAGAAATACAGCAAGAAAGGCTCCTCAGTAATCTTAATGTTAAACAGTTAAGTTATCTTTAATAGGACGTAAAGTTTTGCATGATTTGACCTCCGCTCTGTCTTTGACTTTAAGCTTCTATTTCCACCCAGATGTTTTTTCAGCTCAGCCATTTAGCACCTCTTTTCGTTCCCTGAACTCAGCATTGCATTTCTTTCTTTCTTTCTTTTTAAATATTTGTTCGTTTGAAACAGAGTCTCACTTGGTCACACAGACTAGAGTGCAGTGGCATGATCACGGCTCACTGCAGCATCCCCCTCCCAGGTGCAAGTGATCTTCCCATCTCAGCCTCGAAAAGTGCTGGATTACAGGCGTGAACCACCATGGTCAGCCTGCTTTTAGGTTTTAAAATGTGTTTTTCCCTCTGTGTGTAATACTCTGCTGTCCATCTTCTGGTAATTAGTTCTCATCCTTAGGCAGCACTTCTTGTAACGAAGTTACTATTTCTTTTTTGATTCTTTAGGCCTGAACAAAGCCTTTTCTATAAAGTAGATTACACTTGTAGTTACCCATGTCTTCCTTGAGGATTGTTGAATGGAGTTCAGAGTGCTAAGGAAGAGGGAGATATCAAGGATGACTCCTAGAGTTTCTTACTTGAATATTTGGATAATAGTGTAAGATGAAAGAAGAAGAGCAAATTTTCAGGAATAAGATTTAGGTGTTCAATTTTGAAAATGTTGAATTTCACAACTTGTATACTTTTCTGTTGGAGATATACATAAACCCTGTGTCCCTGTGGTTCTTAGCTACATGTAAGCTATCCTATTGTGTGTGTGTGTGTGTGTGTGTGTGTATATATATATATATATATATATATATATATATATATATCCTTCCTCTTTGCTAGATTGAAGTCCTTGGATACTGGGCCATGGCTTAATTCCTCTTTGTTTCTCTGTTACTTGGTTCATCATAGGTAATTAATACCTGCTAGTTGAATTGAGTTGTAAATAACAATGCCCATATATCAGTTTTAGGATATTTTAATTTTATTGTAAATGTCTCACTTGGAAAGTATGTCCAAAGAAAGGAATTAATGGCTGATTATAGAAAATTTTAGCTTGAGGAAAAAATGCTGTAGTTTTCTTTCTTCCTTTTCTTTAAAAAAAATTTGTCATCACATTTTTATCTTAGTAAACTTGTATCTTGTGTTGTAAATTTAACTATTTTCCTAACCCTTTTTTCTAATAAGAATTACTTGCGTTTTGTTCTAAATATTTTTATATTTCGAACATGAGGTGAATTATACTATCTTCTGTCTTTTGTGCAGGATTATAATGATGAGATCAGGCAAGCACAGCTTCAGGAATTAACATATTTGAATGGTGGTTCAGAAAATGCAGATGTTCCAGTGGTTCGAGGGAAACCCACCTTGCGTACAAGAGGTGTACCAGCCCCAGCAATAACCAGGTAAGTGTAATATTTATTTTTAACTTAACATACCATATTCCTTTATTAATAGCCCAAACCAGTTCTATCTAAACAAAACTTGTATTCATCTGTGCATGGTGGCACATGCCTGTAGTCCCAGCTACTCGGGAATCAGGCCAGGAGTTTGGGGCCATGGTGTTCTGTGATAGTACCTGTGAATAGCTGCTGTACTCCAACATGGGCAACATAGTAAGACCCCATGACTTTAAAAATAATAACTTTTTTAAGCCAATAGTCAAACAACGTGTGATGTCATATTAAGGGCATTTGCTTTGGAGTGAGGTGTTCTTGAGCTTAAATATAACCTGTGACACTTACTAGCTTAGGTAATAAGTGACACTTATTAGCTTAACTTATTATTCTAAGTAAATTATTATTCTCTGTAATATTAATTTTTTAATTCTTTAAAATGAGGCTTGTTTTTTATGTAAATAATTGCATTGATATGAAGATTGGGATAGCAGTCACTTGTGTTTTGCCGTTGAGTAAACTGTCAGGCTAGTTCACTGCCACACCACCAATGCTAAGCACGGTGTCAGACACCCAGTCAGTGTCCACATGCTTGTTGTCTTTTTATTCACCGTAAATGCTCTATGGTATCTGTAAATTCCTGAGCTGGTCTAGGTACACGGAGTTTTTATTTCTGTCCTTGGATTGGTGATTAATGTTAATGGGAAAAATGTTTTAAAGAAATCATAAATCTGATAAGACTATCTCAATTTTATTTGATAATTATTTTTAATTTTTCAATCTTTGTCCAAAAAGAGGTCAATGGAAAGAAGAAATGCAAATTTTTTTTCAGTTAAACTTATGAGTATGGATAGATTTTTATTTTAGGTAGAATTTTGCATGAAAAAATTTAAAATAGCATTCTTGTATATCTCTAAGTTTATTTGGGAAATCAAAAAGTCACTTCCTCAATTATGCATTGGTGATCAGACCAATGTCAGAGCAGTTACAAATGCAGTAAACATAGGTATGGGCATGACATATATGGATTTTCTCTCTTAATAAAAAGAGCTAATAATAATAGGGTTGCTATTGATGATTTCATGAGATAATGTATGTAGGTAGTAAGTGGTAAATCTCATTTTTATTTTTTCTTCCATTAAATTTACTTAAAATCTTAAGAAATTACCTACCTGCTACATTATTTTCATGTGGTTGCTGTGGCAAATTACCACAGATTTTTTTGGCTAAAAATGATAGAAATGCATTCTCTCATAGTTATGGAGGCCAGATGTGAAAATCACTATCACTAGGCCAAAGTCAAAGAGTTGGCAGGGTCGCTCTCCCTCTGGAGGCTCTCAGGGGGATTCCTTTCCTTGTCTTTTCCAGTTTCTGATGACTATAGCATTTTTTGATTTATAGGCACATCACTCTAACCTCTCCATCCTCACACAGCCTTCTCCTCCTGTATCTATAATCTCCTTCTGCCTCCCTTTTACAAAGAGACATGTGGTTATATTTAGGGCACACCAGGATAATCCAGAGTAATCTTTCTATCTCAAGATCTAAATTGCATCTGTGAAATTTCTTTTTCTAGATAAGTTAACATGAACAGGTTCCTGGGATTAGGACAGCATAATTTTGATTGGCCTACTATTCATCCTACTGCATTTCCATGTTAGTTTTATCTTTGTTGTGATGGGAGCCTGTACATTTTCTCATATATGCCAAATACAACAAAATACATTTTAAAAACTCTTCTGAAAGTCTCCAAACTTGTCTTTATCCCTACGTTACCAGTTTACATTTATTTATTTGTAAATTCAGGGTAAATAGTATGTGTTCATAAGTGGCTAGGTCCATTATTGATGCTATAGTAGATCGCAGACCTCCAAATCAAAAGGCATTGTCTCTTACTCCTTTGAAATAATGGAGATTCAAACATCTGTCCTCTAATCTCACCCAAAAAGTGAACAGAAAAATGCATATAGATAAGTAAAAAGAGAAACAGACTAGGCACAGTAGCTCATTCCTGTAATCCCAGTGCTTTGGGTGGCCAAGACGGAAGGATCACTTGAGGCCAGAAGCTTGAGACCAGCCTGGGCAACATAGCCAGACCCTGTTTCAACAAAAATAAAAATAAACTAAAAAGAGAAACATAAGTCTCCCAGACATCACATACATATGTCAGCATTCTAGTCTCCTTGGTTGAAATGTAGATAAAAATCTTCAATGGATAGCCATAAATTTGCCTTCATATAATGTGATAATTTCTTTAGTGGCATTCCTGTTTGCCATATTCAGTTCCTTAGTCTTTTTTATTTTGCCTTTAAATTAAACCTCAAGTCATTTTTTTCTTTAATCAGTTCTGCCATCCTTCTCGGTCTAATCCACACTACTCGTCCATTTTCAGTCACAATGACTTTTTCAAATTAAATGTGATCTTATATTTTCCATACTTACAATCCTTCAGTGCCTTCCTTTCCAGTTAGAAGAGAATCCACACTCCTCATATGCACTTACATGATCCAGCACTTGGCACTCTCCCCGCCTTCCTGACTCTATCTTATTCTACTTTTCCATTGTCTTAACTCCAGCCTTACTGATCTCCTTTCTATAGTTCCTTGAAGAGCCACAGCTCATTTCTTGCCCAGATCCTTCCCATCTACTCTTCCTCTCCTTGGAGGCTTTGTCTCCAGGTACCTGACTGCCTCCCTCTCAGCATTGCATCCTCAGCATACACGGGCACCTGGTCAGAGAAGCCCTTGTCAAGCACCCAGTGTCCAGGGGCCATACCCTCAGCCAGAAGCTGGTTCAGCACACCCAGTCCTGGTGGTGTCATTTGTCAAACTGATTTACCTTATTTATTCACGCTGTCATTGGTTATTCCTTATTGGTAATATAAATCCATAAAAACCCATGTGTTCCTAGTACCTTGCATGTGGTAATTGCTCAGTAAACAATAATATGAATAAAGTGCTAAAGCACATTCTTCAGCCTCTTTCTGATCAAGTGTTGACCACTAGAAATATTCTTTTGTTAATGCCGATCCTATTTGCCACAGGACTGGGTATGTCAAAATACTAGTTTTGTCTGACTCAATACTTGTGAGTCCTCCAGGATGCTGCCTTCTGTTCCTCTCCTAACATTTGGCGTCTTCTGTGCTGCTTTTCCATTGGCCTTTGCTCTGTCCCTTTCTTCCACGTAGAAGCAGTCCTACCTCCCTGCGTTTGATACCAGAAGCAGCAGGAAGAAACATGAACAAAGGAGAGTATGCCCTCTTCCTAAGTAATAAGTGTGTGTTCACAGATATTGGGTGCTTAATGTGGTGGTTTTAAGTGAGAACATTAGGCTATCCCAGGCACCCAAGGTCATTTATCTGTTTTCATTGAATTGGAGAAATTTTCAGCTACTGTTTCTTCAGGTATTTTACTTGCCCCTTTCCCTGTTTCCACACTGTGGGAACTGTCAGCCTAAGATAATTCTTTATAGTTTCATTTCAGCATTAGATCATATGTTACTGGTTTTAATGATGTCACATCTTTGTAAAGCTAGTATTTTAGCAGGTGCTGAGATAAACAATAATCATTATCTGAAAATAAGTATGGATCGGGAAATGAAAGTGACAGTGCCCTCCTATCTGATCCCATGGTTTGAGAACTTACGTAGCACTCTATATACATAATAATTGCTACTATTTAATAATGAAATAAAATATTTCCTTTCAATTATAATACATATTATAAAATAATATATTACTTCTCAAACAGCGGCAAAGTTTTGGGAAATAAATATGTAAATTGTTCGGTACTCACAATTTAATCACCAAATTTGTTACTTATTGGTTTGGCCTAGGGTAAATACCATGAAAAAAAATAATGAAACACTGAAGACATTGTGAATTGAGAAATTTAAGTCATGTGTCTTTTTGATATTGTCCTATAGGCTGAGTCTCTGTTCATTTTCTGTTATTTTTTGTCTTTTTTACAGACCAGTCTATGTCTTAATGTAACCTCAAAGTTCACTGACTCCTTCCTTTGTATTTTGAAGGCAATCTGGTGACTTTTTCATTTCAGATCCTTTTTATTTTCAGATGTAAAATTTTCATTTGATTTTTAATAGTTTTTACTTATCTGCTGAGTTTTTTTTTTTTTTATTCTGTTCTTTACCAGGATATTTTCTTTTGTAATCAGACCAAGGTTTGTTTGCTGGCTGCTCAAAAGCCAAACACAAGAGGCAAACATAGGAGGTGAGGGTTGATGGGAAGAAAAGCAGGTTTAATTAGAGAATCAACCAGTTGAGAAGATGGTGAAATTTTAAAATGTAGCCTACAGTTTTTAAAGGGAAACTTGGTGTGGGACACAGGTGGAAGTGCTGCAGAGCGCAGGGGCTGCGAGTCTTGTTCCAATGACTATCCTGGGTAATCGCCCACCTGGATGTCTGGCTGGTGTTACCTTGACTTCAGACCAGTGGTGGCGGACTAATTGTTCTTGACTCCTGCTAAGTGGGGGGGATTCCACAGGGGCTTTGTGCCAGGTTTAAGATTATCCTCTGGAATTTCTTAGGCAAGAACATAATTTGATAAGCATGCATTGCTGGTGGGGAGTTTCTAGAGAGGGAAAGAATGAAGAGGTGAGACAGGAGGGAAGGAAGAAAAAGTGGGTGATTTTTAAAACTGAGATCCCTGCTTATACTTTTATACATTATGAAGTTTTGAGAGCTTTGTTTAATTCCTTCTCTGCTAATTAATCTGGTTTCATTGGAGTAAATATTGTGCTGTGGAAACTCTGGAATTTGTTATATTCCTCCAAACAGTATTGCTTTTATTTTATTTTATTTGCAATATCTTAGCAGATAGCTTAATTGAACTCCAACTACAGACTGTATCTGTTGGTAAGCAGCTAAAATCTCAGATGAGATCCTTCATCCTTTTCAAGGATACTTAGGGTCTGCTCTATGCATTTGTGGTTCAGTTGTCACTGGAGAGTTGGAGACAGTTCATACACAGAATTTGTGGCTCCCTATCTCTG